ATACATACATACATACATACATTGGAGACCAGGGAGTTGTGGACGTTATTGGAACCTTGCTGTTGGCCTCCTATCATGTGGAAACTTGCCATCACGACCTACGGAATGAAAGAAAAGCAGCTTAGATGGTCTGCATGTTTGTACACGTATGCAGCCTCCTGCCCGTTCTTGCCCTGACAGGTGGTGAAGGCGCCTGTGCCACCCCCTGCACCGGAAGCTGAGGAGACAAAGCGTCCTGAGCTCAGTCCTCTAAGCCTCGAAGAGGGATCGGGCGGCGCATGGGGGTACCAATGGTGCCAAGGGCCAACTCCGGTGCCCCCCGACATCACGTCGCTTAGGCCAGGACGGCCAGAATTAGGTTTCACAGATACGAAGCTGCGAGCTACGCAGCTCGCAGATCTCGAAGCAGCTTAGAGTTTTAGGCTGCCGTTGGCTCATTCACGCTCTGTCGTGCACGGCGCAGGTTTCGTGCTGGTGACTGGAAGCCGGGACAGCCAGGTGGAGGCGGAGGCTGTCTTTACGAAGTTGCAGTTGCCCGCTGCAGCTGCCGATGCCTTTGACAGGCAAGCAGCCACCGCTGACAACAACTGGTCGGGATCTCGAGCCGGAGCAGAAACATGGGCAAGTGGAAAGCTTGTACTGGTCGAAACCGAAGCCTTGATTTTGAACTCAACACCGAACTCAAACACGCGGAGCCGTAGCCGTAGTATTGGTGGGAACTCGATGTGGCAAGGCCCTGTCATGTGGAACTCGCCGAGACCGGCATGAGCCATGTTTGAGGATATCATTCATTGGTTTCTTAGCGTGTTTGTCAGTGGAAAGGCCTCAGGACTCCAGGCTGTTTCGAATCCTGTGCTCACTCTTCAACCGAACCCTGACAAGTTTGCGGAATGACAGTGAAGCACCAATGTTCGCATGACATGGCGTTCTACCGCAGAGCAGTCTCCCGAATACGTTTTGGTCAATGACAGCCAGACAACTCGTGCTGCACACGTGCTTTCGGCTAAAGTTTCCAGCGCTACTCAAGCTGAAACTGCGAAGATTCGCCCAGGTGTTGCACCCTGGGCGTTCAAGGGAGGTGCCAGGGTCCTGGCTGTTTCGACTAAACTTTTCCAGAGCTTCTCCGGTTCTTGCATCGAGGCTGGCTCCAAGCAGCCTCCGGTAACCGTCACAGGGGTGGCCCCCTGGGCGTTCAAGAAGGCATCTGCCGGTGCATCGCCTCGTCCATGTGCAAACCGCTGTGAGAAGGACGCCGCGCCGCCCCCGCCGCCACCAAAGCTGAACAGTTTGGAGGAGACTCCCGAGGCCCTAGCGCTTCTTTGGAAGCGGGATCATTCGTTCAGGGTTATGCTATGCATTGTGATGCAGCTATGCAGTCCTTGCAGGAGGAGGAAGAGCAGAAGCCGGTATCTGGGTTGGATCGAGTGCACAAGCCCTGACCTTAATGCTGGGCTGGGGGCTCCCTTATCCACAGCTGCGCAATGCTGCCGGACCATTCGCGCAGCACATCTCTGCCGTAGCGAAGGTACATGAAGCTCCTGCTGCCTGCAGCACCCGCCGAAGGTCCCACTAGTTGGGAGGCGAGACACTCTATGCCCTGAAGATGCGAAGAAGAGTGATGCCTGCCAGGCAGCATTGATGGAGGAAGCTCCGACGCTCCTGCCTACGCTGAAGCGACTGTCCCAGCTTTTGCTTCCGTGGCCTCGTTTCACCCCTTGTCACATGAGGGTTTCTGGACTTTTAGCCAACGCTCCTGGTCTCCTCCACCTCGTCCTCCAAACAACTCGATCAGGCCAGGCCTACGAGAGCCTTTGTCAGAGGCAACGTTTTTCCACGTCAAACTGCCTCATTGCCAATGTGCCGATCAACATGTCCCACAACCCGACAAGTGTCTGTGGCTGATCTTCTTTCGTTTCATATGCCGATGCAAGCATTGGCGTGTGCTCTCGCATCGGTACAACGAAGACACTGGATGTCTGAAGATAGCAGGGTCCCTGTTATCACACATGTCAGAACATTTGTCAGCGAGCCTTCCCGACTCTCCTCCTCGTCTACTTCAATCCTCTGCAATGGTCATTTCAATCGTTATCATATTGAATACATGCAGCAGATGTATACACATACACATTCAGATGTGTGTACTGTATGTATGATATTTTGTAGTATCTTATATCTATATATATATACATATACAACTGTGTATATACATATATAAATATATGTATGTGCATGTACATATATATATATATAGATAGACATATGTATGTATATGTATGATATACTGCTTCAGTTGATTCCGCAACTGATGGTGAACTATCCAACAGGAGCCGCAAATGGTTGCTGTACGCAACCTGAGCTCCTACGGATTCAAGGAGTCGGAATACTCCACGGAGTGCGGACTGACAGCATGGGCAGGAAGGTACAAAATTTGGAAGGCCGGCAAAGCACTTGAGCCAAACTGGCTTCACGTCATAGACAAATGCCAAGCTCACCATGTAATGATGCATGCTACACACACAGACACACACACACACATATATATATATACACACCAGTACACACACATATATTTGTACATATATATATATATGCGCACATACATATGTGTAGGTATGTATATATATATATACATATGCATGCATGCACACACGCATAAACCTAGACATATAAATGTACATGTACATGTACATATAAATCTACATATACATATAGATAATGATACATATATACACACATACATATATATATATACATATGTAGATCTACATAAAACCATATATTGCTAGATATACCTGTATGTGTCTATATATATATAGTTATATATACGCGGGTACATCCATCCATCCATCCATCCATCCGTCCATACATCCATAAATCCATACATCCATACATACATGCATGCATACATACATACTTACTCACTCACTTACTTAGTTACTTACTTCTTACTTACTTACTTACTTACTTGCTTGCTTGCTTGCTTGCTTGCTTGCTTGCTTGCTTGCTTGCTTGCTTGCTTACTTACTTACTTACTTACTTACTTTACTTACTTTACTTACTTTACTTACTTTACTTACTTTACTTACTTTACTTACTTTACTTACTTTACTTACTTTACTTACTGTACTTTACTTACTTACTTACTTACTTACTTACTTACT